GATCTCAACCCAATTGAGCAGATCTGGGAATTGATAGATCAAAAACTTGATAAATCAAAAGTTACTTTCAAAGAAACTTTACAGGAGTATATTAGAGACATATGGAGTAAAATCCCAAAGGACACTTTGATTAAATGTATTGAAACAATCCTTGAAAGACTGTCTGCAGTTATTAAAGCAAAAGGAAGACACATAAAATATTAACTGTTTGCTGAAGTCAAACACTTCCACCAAGTTTCTGTTGTACTAAATATGAAGATTAATGAAATGTTGATATTTCACCTGTGATTTACCTTCCATTGTTCTTTGAAAGTAGCCTGAAATCTAGTTTTTGACTTTGTCCTAACACTTTTGCACAGTACTGTAACTTACACCATAACATGAACAACGTTGTGTTTCTACATTTTCCCACTGGAGGTACAATGTGACATTCATTTGTGTCTGTTCATAGTTAACTATGGTTAGAAGAATATTAAAATAACTGAGTAATTAAAAAAAGGGGTTATATATTTTACAACATCCACCATCACCTCTATACAGCTATTGCAGACACTACAGTGGGAACACCTCGGTGGTCGATAAAAATGGCAGGACATACACCATTTCATCCGCACAGTTACTTTGTTTATCTCCACGTTCTTGTAGAGTGGTTGTCGAAAGTCCTCTGACCTATCCGACTCTGGGTTTGCTGGGACACAAAACAGACATTTCATAAGCAATACATCATTAACACTGAACGTCAGTAACGAAACAGATATGATGCCAAAAAAAAAAGAGATGACAAAAACATGAAGGAACAGGTCATAAAACATGTAACGTTATAAATACCCACTAAAATAAATATACAATATCTTACACTTCAAAGGATACCATTTAAGGATTCTGCTAGTAACAATCTGGGGAGAACTTTATCCAATTAAAAGGTTATTTAACCCTCAGATTACTGAACTTTTTATATACCTTTCATTACAATGGAGTTCAGATATAGCATCATAACAAAATATTTTATTTTTTGTCCTTTTTGACCCTAAGTGTTAAAGAACTGACCAAAAGTATTGAGTAACATCATTCAGTTTCTATAAATCCAGCAGAAGTTAGCAGGATTAGGTACAATAGTGATGGCATTTTTATCTCTGGGACATCGTAAGTAACAAAGTCGTGGATCAGTTTCTATAAATGTGTTTAAAAGGCCAATGGATCCAACTGGTAATTCTGGGATGAAGCTTAACATTCCTCTGGGGGTAGATACGTATGTATTTGTAATAATTCTAAATAGCTTTATAATAACATTCCTCTGGGGGTAGATACGTATGTATTTGTAATAATTCTAAATAGCTTTATAATAACATTCCTCTGGGGGTAGATACGTATATATTTGTATAATTCTGAATAGCTTTATAATAACATTCCTCTGGGGGTAGATACGTATATATTTGTAGTAATTCTGAATAGCTTCATAATAAACTACACTTTTAGTTTGACATCCATAGACTGTTTGAATTGTAATAATCTTACTTTAAGTTATTTTGATCAGATAACTTGCCTTAGAGAGATCTGTTTGAAAGTCAGGATGAAAAATTGGAAAGAAGCATATTTAAAGCAATGGTTGTAAGACTGAGAAAGGTTTAGTTAGTTTATATCTTGTGTTGTTTAGTTGAGGATTTATGGGATATGTTTTCAAATGATCCCTTTCAGTTTTAAATATTTTTATTGTGTCTGTTACATAGGTATGCATCAAATACTGGATAATGGGGGTCATTGAATAAGTTCTTAGCTGTTTAATCATATCACTAGGTTTGTATCTGTGGTTTTACTGACAGACTAGATACACAGTATACCAGTAGTCACCCTTGTGATGGACTAGATACACAGTATACCAGTAGAGTCACCCTCCTGACAGTCTAGATACACAGTATACCAGTAGAGTCACCCTCCTGACAGGCTAGATACACAGTATACCAGTAGAGTCACCCTCCTGACAGGCTATATGCACAGTATACCAGTAGAGTCACCCTCCTGACAGACTAGATACACAGTATACCAGTAGAGTCACTCTCCTGACAAGCTAGATACACAGTATACCAGTAGTCACCCTTGTGATAGACTAGATACACAGTATACCAGTAGAGTCACCCTCCTGACAGGCTAGATTCACAGAATACCAGTAGAGTCACCCTCCTGACAGACTAGATTCACAGAATACCAGTAGAGTCACCCTCCTGACAGGCTACATACACAGAATACCAGTAGAGTCACCCTCCTAACAGGCTATATACACAGTATACCAGAAGAGTCACCCCCGTGACAGGCTAAATACACAGTATACCAGAAGAGTCACCCTCCTGATAGGCTAGATACACAGTATACCAGTAGAGTCACCCTCCTGACAGGCTAGAAAACAAAATACCAGTAGAGTCACCGTCCTGACAGGCTAGATACACAGTATACCAGTAGAGTCACCCTCCTGACAGGCTAGATACACAGTATACCAGTAGAGTCACCCTCCTGACAGGCTAGATACACAGTATACTAGTAGAGTCACCCTCCTGACAGGCTACATACACAGTATACCAGTAGTCACCCTCCTGACAGGCTACATACACAGTATACCAGTAGAGTCACCCTCTACAGAATCTTTATAACAATTTTAAATAGTCTGCATAATGAATTATTAAAAAAACTCACCTTTCGGAATGATCCCAGGGTCCATGAAAGTAGCCAAGGAAAAATTTGCCAAGACAAACAACGTGATGACACCCTGAACAATGGGAATGGCTATATGATATTCACAAGCCAAATAAAGACAGCTATAAGACACAAAAAAAGAAAAGTTATTAAATAAACTTACAACTTTATAATTAACCTGAGTATTTTAACACTGTTTTATAAATTCAAACACAACTGTTTACACATAATCACAACACTTTATAACGCCCATTTAATATTAATTATTAACAATAATATATGTTCGACAACCTTTCTTCTTATTCAATCACTGCTTTAATATAAACAATGTATAAACTATTATTATTATTCTAACTTTCATGTAGAGCCCATTATTCAAAATATTTTTTACTAGTTACTTACTGTTGTCTATACATGTAGTTCTATTCTGACTGGCTAACAAATAATTATCAGATAACAAGGAAAAATACCCATCCCCAGTGATGGGAAAAGTTTAAGTTAATTTAACAGACGAACACTCGGACAGACACCACGGTTCACAGTATATGGAAGATTATTTTATTTTAAGATTATAAATACTTTTATGCATCAGAAAATTAACAAATTTCACATCCGAAATCTTTATAATGTCCAGATAGTTATCAAAAGTTTCTTAAGAAAAAACGTTACATTTTATCTGTTATTTTCAGTAACGATTCTCTGTACAGGTTCGGTCAATTTGACCGATCTTGTAACCACCATAAAAAAATTTAGGAAATAAATATAAATTATGCCTCTTTCATTCTAAAATGACAAATTATAACATGAAAACATAGATGTTTAGACGAAATAGCTTAAATCTCATAACGTTATGAATTTATTATTTTTAATATATTGACCTTTCACCTATGCATGGCTAACAATACAGAAATTACAACAACGCGACTCACGTGCACTCATGTTACCGTATTTGTACTTGGTTGCTAAGCCTTATCAAAATTTCTCACGTGAAGGATGTGAAACAAAATTTTTTTTAAGGTTTTTTATATATATACAGTTGAAATAACCAAAAAATCATAAATTACTACATTAATACCATAGAATTCCACTATAATTTATCAAATATAGTAACTAGGTTGCATTTCAGTCTAAGAAAATATGAAATTTTGAGCAGACTAAAGACATAACCTACGTCCTTGAAATCTTGGTTTGAAAGAAAGAGATGGCATCCAAACACATTAAAATGGCT